GGACAGCTTGCTGCTGGGTTCTATACGGGCCATCCCAAGGCTTTGTGGTAGCTGAGGCTAGGAAGGCACTGGAGGGTGGGCCCAATCTTCGAAGGTGCAGAGGCCATTGCTTTGCTCTGAAGGAAGCTAGTCTGTGGTGCTCTGTAGATAAACTGCTTAGTAAATTTGCACGTGCGCTTGTGCGCGTGCATGTGTGTCTGTGTGTCTGTTTTGCAGAGGATTGAATTCTGGGTCTCATGCGTGCTGGGCAAGTGCTCTACCACTGAGCCACTGCCCCAGCCACAGCTTGATAAATTCTTATTAACACGCCTTTCAGGGGAGAGGGGAGGAGTGACAGACAGTATGTGCTGACTGTGAAGGGGCCCTGGATGGGAGGGTATGTGGGAAACCTTCCTGCGCAAATAAAATTCCCTTTCCAGTGTGGGTAGACAACTATGTGATGCTTTTTGCCTGTTAGAACTGCCCATTTTACTTACTTTGAAAAAGAACATAGCTCACTTTCTTGCTGACACAGTTACTGTATCTGGCCAGGTGAGCATGCCATGGGGGTGTTTTTGAGTTCTGGTGACTAGATTTGAAGGACTCTGTGCCCCAGATAACTTCCAGCAGGAGCCTCCTTTCAGCATGACTGAGGTGGCCTCTGCCGGCTCTTCAGGAAGGCCAGAGAGCACAAGTTGGCAGGGGGATGTCCTGGTGGCGTTTGACTCCTGTGCCTGCCATGGCACTTCGTGCTTGTTTCTCAGTCTCTGTCCTTGGAGGTGGGAGCTGCATTTATTCCACTTCTTTCTTTCTCTAGGGAATATTTTAATTTATTTTCTTGATAGCAGTTTAACATGTTAAGGCCAGAAGGGAAGTGAGGTAAATCATCAGAGTCCTCCTGAGGAGAGGGACAAAAGAGGCTAAGTTACACAGCTGGTGGTGGCCCAGGTTGAGCTGGCTGGGCTCTGAGGACAGTCTTTCCCCCTTGGGCAGGTGCTGCCTCTGAACCTGGCTGTCAGCTCCAGTTGGCATTGGATGTCTCCCTGGTGCCTTCCCATAATAGATGTGCCTGCATGCCACTGTGCCGTGAGCGTCCTGGCCAGGCACGTTGACCCTGGGCCTGCAGGGCTAAACCCAGAGTAGCAAGAGGAGGTGTTAGTGAAGGACGGAGTGGCTTTTTCTTTTCATCCAGTGCCTAGCTAGTGGGGACAGCCAAAAGTGAGTATCCTCCAACCACCCCAGTGGCTTCCTAAGTTGTGGTCCCTGGCACTTGGGTCCCCCTCCTCAGACGACGGAGGGATAGCCCCATTGCTGGACTACTCCTGGATGAGGCCCCCAAACCTGTTCGCGGACCAGCAGATGCAGTGGGCTGGGGGATATTCTCAGTGAGGACTGTGAGACTTGTGGATGAAATCGTAGCCCTGACAGCATCCTTCGGTACTGAATGTGTTTGGGGAATTTTGAAATTATTTAAAGTCACGTTGGAAACAGTCCCCCGTGTACCTGGTTATTGGGACATTCCTGGAGGGGATGATTGAATTCTGGGTCATGTTGAGATTGTGATGGATTACAAGTGAAGTTTTGGTAATGTTTTGAAAAGCAGGTGAGGAAAGTTGTGGGAAGATAGTTCTTCTGGTGGTCACCCCCTCTCTCCTCTCTGCTCCTTTGCAGGCAGAGACTCCCTTGCAGAAAACTCCTGGAGTTGATAAGGGAGTGAGCGGTTGGTTGGTTCATTCTGTGCTCTGAGGGAGGTTTGGCCCAGCCCTGCACATAGGTAAACATATTTGCCAAAGGGAGTGGGTATGAGCCGGCTGCAGTGGTTTTGAAATCCACATGTTAATCTGCTTACAAATTACAGCTGTGTTTTTTAGCAACATCTATTGATTTGAGCAAAACAGGTTTTGCCTAACAAGACTCAGGAACATACAAGGACGTGCTTCCCACTCTGTACTCCTGAATTTATGATAACGAGTAGACTGAGCCCCACAGACCAAAAGTCTAGGACACTTGGGAAGCGAGTGTGTCATGGGAGCTCAAATGGGCCTGGTGCCAGCCCCTTCCTCCCCAATACACCGGGGGCTTCTGGTCCCTCCTGGGGTCTCCTGCTGTCTCTTCCCTCCTGTGCAGCTCTCTTTAGCCTCCAGGGTGTAACAGGGCTCATCTTAGCTGGCTCGGGGTCCCACGTCTAGAGTGAGACTCCTCACAATTTGGGAATTCACTGGGCAGTGGGAGGAGCCTGGTTCAGCAAGAAGGATCGCGTAATTAGTTACTCTTAAGGAGTCTTTTTAAAAAGATGATTTATTTAAATTTGGCAAGTAGGGTATGTGAATTTAAAGGTTAGGAAAATACAGTTAGAACAACACTGAAAGAGACAGTTATTATTCATAGTTTTCCATATACAGGAATTTAATTTTTTTGGTTAATTTGGTATATTTCTTCTTATGAATAAATTGAGATTTTTTAAAAAAGCATCAATAAAGTAGGTCTGATTTTAGCCTGCTATGAAGTTGTGTTCAGTGTCAACAAGCTAGTGACCACAAGAGTTAGGACAGAATTCAGGGTCTGGAATGGCTTTGTAAAAGTTGAGCTCCTATCAGCACAGTAGGCCAGTTGGGCTAATTGGCCAAGAAATCAGTTATCTGCTTTCTCTAATGAGACTTTAACATGTGGTTACTTGGATGAAAAATTTGGGTAGACGTGTTTTACGCCTGAAAACAAAGTCTGGATTAAACAGATCTAGGGAGGGTGTTCTGAGGAAGCTTGGACGTCAGGTAGTGGGTGAGATGGGATTTGGAATTGTCGGGGCTGTGGCCCTTGGGAGACCCCTGCCCTGCTCATTGGGACTGACCTAACAGTGAGTCAGAGGAAGGCCTGTTTTGGGAACCTCTGGGGCATGGGTATGGTGGACCGACCTGCGGCTACCTGCAGGGTCCTTCTGCCTCCATCACCACCTGTCCATCCCTCATGCCTTTCAAAAACCTCCTCTGGGGCTGAGGGGCTAACTTAGTGACACAGTGCTTGCCCAGCATGCTTGAGGCCCTGGGTTTGATCCCTTGCATTGAAAAAATAAAAAAACAAACAGAATCTCCTCCTTCCCTGGGGTCTGGAAGGCCTGGTGGGTGCTTGTTCCCACCCGATTGCAAAGTGTGTCTCTGGGTCGGAGGAGGGGCTGGGCCTGGAGTTGTGAGCTGGCACCAGGCCCGCTTGAGCTCCCATTACACTTTAGACACTGTTTATTACCGTACATTTCAGGGGGGCATAGCAGGGTCCAGGGTGTAAGTGGCACCTGGTAGAGGTTGGGCCAGCCCTCTCTGCCTCTGCCATCTCTCAAGGGTATGGCCTCCTCCATACTGCCCTGCCTTGGACCAGAGTGTAAATGTAAGTGGCCCTTTGTGCCTGAGCAGAGCCCTGTCCTTGTGAGGCATTGGGTGGAGCATTTGGGGAGGCAGTGTGGTGTGGGCACAGGGCGGCCGGGGCTAGGCAGGACCCCAGGGACGCGATTGAAAAGTTGCATGACCTGGGCCAGTTAGTTCACCTCTCTGGCCTTAATTTGCTCACTTGTAAACTGGGGTGAATGATAACTATGTCACCGATGGTTTATAAAGGTTGGGAGATGTGTGGAGAGCACCTCGCCCCACTGTGTGGTAGCTGCTGCCATCGGAAATGTGTTCTCCAAGGGCACATCTTACTGCTCCCAGCACCTGTGTGGAAGCGAGTTGCTCTGATGATCTCTGCGTTTCTCCTTTTAAACAGAAGGCTCTGCCCACTCCTCAGGAGCACAGCCAGTCCCGGCAGGAATGCCTGGAGCAGCTGCCTGCCCCCGCCAGTGAAGGGCCAGCGAAGGACAGGCGGGAGAGGACTGTCTTTGGATGTCCCGGCAGCTGTGTCCCTCTTGCTGGCCACCTGTCCAGGCCCTTCTCCACCTGTGTGAGTTCACCCACACAGATCCCTGCGCAGAGTGCTGTCCGCAGCCCTCTCTTCTTGGCTTCTGACTTTTGTATCTCTGAGGTTTGCACCAGGCGAGGAAGCTCCTGGTTGGTCATGGTGTCTCCCACTGTCGCTTCCCTCTTGTGCATCTCTCTTTAGCTTCCAGCATGGAACAGGATCATCTGAGGTTCAGCGCTCAGCCCTGAGGATTAGTCAGTGAGACGCTAGGCCGGGCCATACTCAGACAGCAGTTTCATTCGGCTCTGATTCTGACCCACATTTGGAAACACTTTACACTCTGGCCCAGTAGGGAGAGAAGGGACAGATGGGCCTCCCAGGTGCCCTCATGCTCACTTCTGGGCTCTGGTCGTGGGAGTGTGTGTCCCCCGTGCTGGGTGGGGCCTGAGCTGACTGCCCCTGAGTCTGGGCTGCCATTTGGAAACACTGGCGGGCCGGGAATTTACCTCAGTGGTTCCGCCGCCTGCCTCGCCAGCGAAAGGAAACACTGGCTTGGCAGCTACGTGAAGCTAAGGGAATCGGGTCTGGGTAAGGGAATCGGGTGTAAGGTTGGAGGGACTCTGGTTGTCCCTGAAGCATCCATCAGAGGCTTCTTTGAGTAGAGTAAGAGGGATGGGAATAGGCACCGCCCTAGCCATCCAGGGGTCCCCAAGCTCTGCAGGGAATGCCTTGGGAGAAGATTGCTACAACACAAGAGTTTTGCTCCCGAGGAAAGAGCACCAGATCAGGAGTCAGCACGTCTCATGCCAGTCCCAGTTCTGTACAATCACTTGACTTCTCTGAGCCCTGGGTGTTTGTGGGGTGGCTGTGTGGCCAGGTGAGGCAATGTGTGGGAAGTGGTGAGTGCCCACAGTGCGGACTCAGCAGTCTCTCATGCTGCTCGGTGCCTGGAGGAGCCAGGTGTCACCAGCACCTACTGTGAGCCTGGGTCCTTTCTTTTTTCTCAGTCAGCTCGGTCTGAAGGGCAGATCAGCAGACAAGCCGATTGGCTAGTTGCCTTCTGCCCAGAGTTTGTGGAGCTGGTGAGTGTGCGAGATGTGAAGCCTCTTTCCCTGACGTGGCCTCCTCTCTTCCAGTCCTCAAGCGTGGCTGCCATGTTGGGGGACGCCATCATGCTGGCCAAAGGCCTCGCCAGACTGACCCAGGCGGCCGTGGAAACCCACCTGCAGCACTTGGGCCTCGGTGGGGAGCTCATCATGGCAGCCAGGGCCCTGCAGTCCACAGCTGCAGAGCAGATTGGTGCGGTCCTGGGGATGGTGCAGGTAAGGAGACTGCCTCAGCAGCGGAGCGGGGTTGAGGGTGCTGGTTGTGGGGGGAGTCAGACTTGGAGCTCGGGGAGACCAAGGGGTGAGAAGCAGGACACAGACACCAGGTGGCTGGAGAGCCCAGTGGTAAGCATGTCCTGCTGCCTGGGACCCACAGAGAGGGTGCGGCTACAGTTAACAGAACATCTTAGACGTGGAGGCCCGGGAGACCAAGATCAAGGTGCTAGCAGATTAGGTGAGCCTGAGAGCTGTTTCCTGATGGGTAGTTGGCTGTCATCTTGCTGTGCTCGCTGGTGTCTTCATTTAGAAGGGCAGTAATTCAGGTCACTTCCCAAAGACCCCTTCTTATACTAGCGTGGTGCAGGTTGGGTTCCAGAGCGTCCGGGGATGCAGAGCTGCACGTCTGTCAGCCTGCTCACCCTCCTGCTCCTGAGAGCCTCATGCTCCTTTTTCACTTTGCTGACGTCCCTGGTTTTAAACAAGACTGGCTACAGCAGAGCATTCCCTGCCGTGGTCATTGCAGTCGCTGGCAGCTTTCCGGATAGTCCAGGGGACAAGGGGGAGCGTGTACGTGGGCACTGGTGTGCGCGTGTGGGTGTGCAGAGGCTGCCCGGCCTCCTCACTCCGTCCTCTGTCCTGCGGCTGGCTGAGCCCTGGACGAAAAGTCACGGCCCTTCCCCTCCTCTCTCTGTGTCCAAGGGCAGTGTAGTGTCCCTGTCCCTGCATATTTAACTTTTGGAAGCCTTTATACCCACAGTGTCCTGTTTTGCCCTGGGGTGGGGCAGGCCTGGACGCTTACCCCATTTCTCAAATGTGGAAGCTGAGACAGCACTGTGCTGTCAGATCATGACCAATAAGTGGCAGGCTGGAGTCCTTGTCCTTGTCCGTGCCCCGACTCCCTGCCCTCCCTCTCCTCCTGCTGAAGCGGGACTGTGGCCCCTACAATGTCCTGTCAGCACCCCATGCCCGCTTCCTATCGGGGTTTGGCCTGTGGAGTCCTCAGCACCGAGCTCGCCTGCCGCAGAAGTGAGACACTGTGCCGGACCTGGCAGCTTCCCCTCTTGCCCGGCTCCCTTCTGCCCACCACTGTCCTCAGCAGGCCTGGGCTGGTGTCCGAGAGAAGCAGGGCCATCTCTGGCGGATGTGGGGTTGGAGGCAGGATGATGCTCCGCGTGAGGGAGGCAGCTGAGCAGGAGCCACTTGTCGCCTGTCCACTCCCTGGCACTGGGGGGCGGTGTCTCCCTGTCCCAGAAGGCAGGGGTCTGAGGCACCAAGGGCTCCCTCCCTCGAGCTCCCTGAGGGTCTTTCGCATGCTTATTCAGTAGATGCTCAAAGAAGCCATGTCCCTTTGTGGCACAGCTATGTCGGCCGGCAGCAGTTACCCAGGGCCAGGTAGCCATTGTGGGAGTTAGGGGACCCTGGCCCAAATTCCTCACTCCAGGGCCACCCTCACTGTCTGGGAAAGAACCAGTGAGTCTAATATGATTTCTGCTTTGAGAAAGGTAGGTGACCTCAGGATGGCCAGCCGGGCAAGCGTAGGCTTTGAATCCTTGCTTTGCCATTTGTAAAACGAGGGTAACTGCCAGGGTGTCTCTTCCCCGCAGAGGGGAGGGTACGTGTGTCTCTCCAGGCTGAGGCATTTTAGGGTGCAGAGTAGAGGGCCTGTGATCTCTTGCTACTTCCATGGTAGCATGTAGGCCTGGGCATTTACTCCTTGGCACTTCAGCCAGTGATCGAGGCCCCTGGCCTGCCTTTAGGACTCGGTGCTATTTAATTCTAGCCTTGTCTGGTAGTTTCCTTGGCCTTGGCTGAACCCCTCATCACTCGAATATGGGGAGCCCTATTTTCAGATAAGGAAGCAGCAGAGAAAGGTTAGGAGCTCACTCAAAGTCCCCCCACATTCAGAAGTAGAAAGAAGCTGGGCCTGAAGGTCAGGCCTGGGTGACTAAAGAAATTGCATTGGGCCCTCCATCCTTTCCCTGTACCCTGAGCTCCCAGGGATAGCCAGGCCTGGCCCTGACTGTGACCACTTCGCGGTGAGAACCTCTTAACTCCGTAAGCCAGACTGGTTGGTAGAACCCATGTCTGCAGCGAGGTGCTGGCCTGTGATGGGTTGGGTTGGTCTCCCATCCCCTAGCTGGCCTTCAGTGGCCTTTATGTCTGAAAGCTTTCTCTGGCTTGTGTTTTGCCTGGTTTACCCTGCCCTGGGTGCCTGCCTGGGACCACATGGCGAAGCCCTGGCAGAAGCTGGCTAGAACCCGGGTCCTGGCTCCCAGGCGGGGAAGGGGCCTTGGGTTTTGGGGGTTGCATTGTGTTCCTCCAGAGCGTTGGGGAGGTGCATATGGTGGAGGTGGGCACGGGGCTGAGCTCTAATCGTGTTTCCCTCCTCTCATGCTGGCCTTTACTCCTTTCAGGGTCAAGATAAACATGAAGCATCTTATGCCACTGAGAGCTTCGATGACGATCTAGAAGTTGAGGTCCACTTTGCAGGGGCTGGGGCCTCCACTGACTTCTCTGCAGCCTCCACCGCTGACCAGTCACCCTCTCCATCTGTGGGTCACCTGCCCAGTGAGGGCCCGGCCCCCACCTATGTTGCCAGTGGACCATTTAGGGAAGCTGGGCTCCCAGGCCAGGCCGCCGCCCCACTGGGCAGAGTCAGCGGGAGGCTCTTCGCAGACTCCAGAGACTTCTTCTCTGCCACTGGCTTCCAGCGAAGGTTCTTCCATCAGGATCAGTCCCCCATGGGGGGTCTCACAGCCGAGGACATTGAGAAGGCCCGGCAGGCCAAGGCCCGCCCCGAGAGCAAGCCGCACAAGCAGATGGTGCGTAGGGAGGCCTCTTGGCTCGGGGGTGGGGGGTGGGGGAGTGGTTCCCACCCACTGGCTGCTGTCCTCGGCTTTCTGTTTGGGGCCTTTTTCTAGATGGCTGTGGTCAGGGGTCTTTAGGAACGTGGGGCCTCTTCTCAATAAAGTATGCTGCCTTTGCGGGGTGAGGAGGGAGTGTGAGGGGCAGCATGAACCCTTGAGGCTGGTCTCGTCCTCATTTGCTGATCAAACAGGTCTCTTTCTTTTCTCCCTCCAGCTCAGTGAGCGGGCTCGGGAGAGGAAGGTGCCAGTTACGCGGATTGGGCGGCTGGCCAACTTCGGAGGTAAGCAGGCCACGTGCCCTGTGCTACCTCACCTTCCCTGCCACGCCACTCCCAGCCGAGGGAAACTAGCGCCATCCTGGGGTCTCGTGGAGGTAGAAGTGGGAGGAGAGCCAGTCACATCGCAGGGTGGGGGAGCAGGTGGCAGTGGGTGCCCTTGCAGTAGCTTGGGGGCCTGGATGTTTTCCATGGGAGGACGGTCCACTTGCAGGGTGCCGGCTCTGCCCACTCACCCTGGGGCTGATGTGTGACTGATGCTTCCTGAAAGTGCAGCTTGGGCTGCTTGACAGGCCTTGCATGGGGGTGGGCTCTGCAGTTTTTCCTCTGTCCCAGTGAGGCTGGAGACCTCCACAGGAAGGAGGCCGGTTATGAGTATGAGCTCCTCTCTGGGGCCATTTCGCTCCTAAACATTTTTTGCTCCTTTAAACGAACCCGTTTGCTGGATTCCCCACTGGCCTCTGGCTCATCATTGGGGTGATAATGAGATGCTGTGGCCCTGAGCGCCTATTGTTTAACATTATCTTAATGCGCTGTATGTGGTGGTAGGAGCTTTATTTATAATTTGCTTCAGGGGTTTGGGTAACCACTGTGCCCGTGTATACTTGTGCCCATTATACCTATCTTTTAATATGAGTTGGAGGATACTTTCAGGGTGCAGGTTTAGAGCAGTTGTATCTGCTTTTATTGAAAGTGCTATGTCCCTTGCAGTGGTGTCCTCTAAGACCTGGTCTGGTCACGTGCTGTGCACAGCAGAAGCCTCTTGAGCTTTTGCTAACAGTGCCAGTGCCTGGATACCCTTGGGTATCCATGTGCTGCAGTTTGTCCATAGCTAGGACTCAGAGCTGCCTCCCTCAAGGTCCAGGCAATTGATATGGAGTGTTTCAGGCTTGGAGGTGGTGGAATGGGTGCAAAAGAGCCAGATCAGGAAAGAGTGTGCTGTTCTGGCCCCAGAGGTGAGTTCTGGGCCATCCAAGCCACCTATAGGCTTTCAAACTGTGAGTTATGAATGTGAAGTCAGCTTAGTGGGCCAGTATTAGCAGTTAAAAAACAAAGGAGCCAAACACTCTCACTGGAGGAAAGACAGCCTCTTTAATAAATGGTGCTGGAAAAATTGGATTTCAATTTGCCAGAGATTAATACTTGACCTGTATTTCTCACCATGCACTAAACTAAGATTGAAATGGATCAAAGATCTAAATATTAAAACAGAAACACTAAGTCAGCTGGAAGAGAGGTTAGGTAGAACTCTTGAAGATATTGGCGTGGGAAAAGACTTCATGAACAAAATCTCAGTTGCACGTGAACTAGCACAAAGCAACATCAGCGAGTGGGATCTCATCTTATTAAAAAGCTTCTCCAAGCTGGGTGTGGTGGTGCACGCCTGTAATCCCAGCACTTGGGAGGTTGAGGCAGGAGGATCGCTGTGAGTTCGAGACCAGCCTGGGCTACACAGTGAGTTCCAGGTCAGTCTCAACTACATAGTGAGACCCTGTCTCAAAAAAACAAACAAAACAAAACAAAACAAAAAGCTTCTCCACAGCAAGAGAAGCCACCACCAGAGTGAAGAGACACCCCACAATGTGGGCACAAATTTTTACCAGGTGTTACTCAGGCAGGGGACTATTATCTAGAATATATAAAGAACGTAAAAAAATCTGACCTGCCAAATTTAACGACTCAATCCAAAAATGGGCATCTGAAATGAACAGACATTTCTCAGACGATGAAGTAGAAATAGCAGGTAAATATATGAAAAAATGTTCAACATCACTGATCATACGAGAGATGCAAATGAAAACAATGATGAGATTCCACCTCCCTCCAGAAAGAATGGCTGCTATCATGAAATCAACCAATAACAAATGCTGAGGGGGCTGTGGGATTGTAGAATGGTTTAACCACTATGGAAATCAGCATAGAGATACCTCAAAAAACTAGGATTAGAGGTCCCATTTGACCCAGCTATTCCTCTGCTGGGTATCTTCTGTGTTCATAGAGGCACAGTTTGTAATAGCTAAATCTTGGAAACAGCCCCTTTGTGCATGAACTGGAGAGTGGATAAAGATGATGTGTGTTTTTGTTTTGTTTTGAATAAGATAGAGTGCTACTCAGCCATAAAGAATTTAGAAACCAGAGACATTTATAGCTCAGTGAACGCACATTGAGGCCATACTCTTAAGTGAACTAGGACACACATGCATAAATACCGAATAGTTTCTCTGGTGTGAGAAACTGAAAGTGGAAATGAGAATCAAAATGTATGATAGATAATGTGAAACAGGAAGAAAAAGTCCAAAGGGGAGGGAGATGGGGAAGTGGGAGAGGTAGGGGAAAGAAGGGAAAGGAATAATACGAGAAGAGGAAAAAAAATGGCAACAAAGTGTTTGTAAATAGGGAGGCAGTGGAGGGGGTGAAGGGAGGACAGAGGAATTGGGAAAAAATAAGAACCAAGATACATCATGTAAAGGTACCAATTCCCAGTGATGAATGTCATCACATTGTAACCTAAAATGTATCGATAAACTTAATGAATTTAAAAACAAAACAGAAAACACAAGTTATGGCTGGGGGTGTAGCCTGGTGGCAGAACATTTGCCTGCTATGTGCACAGCCATGTTCAGTGCCTACTACTGAAAAAAAGTCAAAAAGAATGTAATTGAATAGAAAAGGTCATAACTGACCCTTAGAACATAACAAAAAGAGTTTTGTTTCCTGTTTGAGCACCTTCTTCATTGCAGTGCAAAGTACCTGGTGCCTGTGAAGTAGCATTGCTCTGATTATTGCCCTGAAAACGTGTGTGGTCTTTCTTCCCCTCCTTGGGGTAGGATGCTTTTGAGGTGTAGAATGACAAGTCCTAGAAAGTGTTTACAGTAAGACAGGAAGGAAAGGGGTCACTGTACATCTCAGGGATGTAGGCTTGCTTTGGTGTATGACTTTTACTCATATCGATCCCATCTTTTAATGAATGTTCCGCTTTTCTGTCAGGTATCAAAAGAGACATTAAAAAGCTTATGGTTATGGACTTGCCTACTTTTAATCTGATTGTTTTGTGTGAGTGCTTTATATTTTTGAAGCTCTGTTATTGCCTATAAATTCAAAATTCTTATATCCTACTGAGGCTTGACCGCTATTATTTTGTTATGTTCAGGTTTTTTATAAGATAATATAATAGGAAATATAAAAATTACAATTTTATCAAATTTATTCAGTAGTGGTTGAAATGACAGCTGCCCAGCAATGCTCGGGATTGTACTGTTGTGTGGTTAATGCTGGTGTTTGGGGCTTTACGTCTGCTACCTTAAGTGTTCGTCTGCTGTGGATCCTCTTGTTATATTCCCATTTTTCTCTTTGGTCTTTTAAGTTCATCATGTTTTTTTTTTTGTTTTTTTTTTTGGTACCGGGGATTGAACTCGGGTCCTTGCACTTACAAGGCAGGCCACCAAACCACTGAGCTAAATCCCCGGCCCTAAGTTCATCATGGTTTTAAAAATTGTGTTTTCTCTTTGCTAGCTTTTGTACTTTACATTTCCCTGCTATTCTTTTAGTGATTGCTCTTGAGATAATAGTGTGCTTTGCTGACTCATTATAATGTAAATGCTTTTCTTCTTTCTGTTGGGGCCTCCATTTGCACATAAGTTAGATCTTTTTCTCTGTCCCCAGTGTCATCCCTTTTTTCCCATTTGTGTTTCAGTCTTTTGGGTTCAGAGGCGATTTCTTTGGCCCCTATAAATGAGGGAGAACTGGATGATTACAGAAATGAGACCTTAGTGAATAAAGCAGGTACTAGACAAGACTTATAAAAGGCCTGAATAGCACTCTGGTGGTTACTAGGACCTTCACACGGGGACTTATGCACCACAGAATTAAGGGAAGGGAAGAGATGAGTAAGCAAAGGAAATAGCAAACAAAATGGGAAGCAGTAGGAAGCTGTGAACTTATTTAGGTTCTGCATAGAAAGGATTTTGAAATTTGATGTATGAAAATAAGGATATATATCATATGGGATATATGATAAGTGAGAAAACCATTTCAGGAACGTTTTTAAAAGTAAAAGGTTAAGGTTCTCTGATTCCTAGAACATGCTTTGCTTCTAAAAATAGTCCATGAGATTCCCCCGTGTTCCTTAAGGTGAGGTGACATTAGCATTCTCTCTCCTGTCAGTAAGGGGACACTGCTTGGGTGGCAATGCCAACCTGAACACTCCTATTGCTTAATTCCCAGAGACTGACCTCGGGTGCCATTCATAGTCTAGAGGAGAAGCTGTCTGCGGGGTCATCGTGTCGTCCCCTCTTCCCGAACTTCTGTGTCCCTTATCTCAGTGGTAAAATTAAGAACAAATGGACATGAAGTGAATGTCCATAGGTGTTCGGTTTTCAATTTTTGCCAAGTGCATTTAAAACCACTGTTACCACATTTTATTGATTTTATTTTAACTCACTTAATTTTTGGGGGACAGAATCTCGCTGTGTAGTCCAGGCTGACCTTGAACTCCTGGCGACTCTCCTCCTTCGGCCTCCTGAGTGCTGGGATTATAGGTTGAGCTATCACACTCAGCCACTGATCTTTTCAAAATGACATTTAAAAAATTGTTTTATTAGTACGTTTGCAGCAAATGATTTTGTTCAACATGGAGAGTTGGTACATGTGTATGACACACTTTAATTCTTTTAAATTCCTCTCTCACTCTTCGTAAAAAGACCTTTTAACAATGCAGAAATAACAAAGGATATGCTCCTGAGATAAAGGATAGTAAGTTGAATAATTTGCTTTTGTGACAGTTGCTGGTATTACCTTAGTTACTGGGCAGGACCTCGTTGTGCCCAGCCAGTCCCTTGAAGAGCCCTTGCACTGTGGCAGTGCCCTTGGGCCCTTGGCTGCGTGGGGTCCGTCCAGACCCCTGTGGGGTGCCATGTGCTCTGACCTGCTGTCACCGGACCCTCTGCTAGCAGAGCTCACCTGAGGCTGACCCTCCAGCCTCCCCTCGAAGAGCAGCCTGCAGTAGC